ACCCTTAATATTTCCAAACTTAATCATTAAATCCAACATCAACTTTCTTCAATTAAATCCATGAACTTTTAACTTATTTCGAAATCGAGCACCTAGTTTACAAAATTTGCAATTTAGTCACTGACCCTGATTTGGGATGTTACAAAAATGCCATTGTCAAATTTCATGGCGAATGGGATGCATCTTACAACGAACTTTCAAGTTGGTTTAGGATGGTGCAGAGGTTGAATCCTGGGACAATTGTGGACTTTGAAACCTCCTATGTATACCATAATGATCGATTTCTTCGCGATCGATGCCAATTATACCCGATTTTTTGGACTTACCCACAGTGTGTTAATGCTGTCAAATACTGCAAGTCTGTGGTCCAGATCGATGAGACTTTCTTGTATGGAAAATACAAGCAATTTTATTATTGCCAGTTGTCCAAGATGGCAATCGCAATATTCTTCCAGTTTCTTTTTCTCTTTTCGAAGGAGAAGATACAGATTCTTGAGCTTTTTTCCTCCGAAATTTACATGTACATGTTATCACGAGGGAAAACATATGTGTCATTTCAGATCGCGGAGCTGAGATTAAAGCAGCAATGGAGTCTTTGGATCCAATGTGGCAACCACCCTTTGTCTAACATAGGTATTGTCTCCGACACATTGCTGCAAACTACCATGGAAGATACAAGAAGAATGATGAGCATCAATTAATTGTGCGCATGAGTAAGTGAAACTGATGTAGTTTTTTTTCTTTCGATCCTTTTAATTTTGTAAAGAAAGCAAGTTAGTAAGTTATACATTTATTTATCAGGTTACGAACTACTTCCTCGAACGTTTGAATCAATGCTTCAAGATTTACAGGTGAATAACGAGGAAGGATATGATTACATCAGCCTCATCGATAAACAAATGTGGACGAACGCATATGATGGTGGATATTGATATGGACACATGACGACCAACTTGGCAGAAGAAATAAATTCAACCTTAAAGGGTGTACGTCACTTACCAGTAGCGGTTTTGGTAAATACTACATATTTTTGTTTAGGGGTTCTTTTTGCGAAGCTCGGGGGATAAGCTCAAACCTGGACGTAAGGCGGTCATGTCTATCACCCTAGATTAGTTGTAGATCTACAGAAAAAAAAATTATGCATCAAATGGAATGTCTGTAACAAACTTCTCTAGAAGGCATGAAATGTTTCGTGTCACAGAGTTACAGCAACCTCTTCAAGGGATTGAAGTTGTATCGTTAAGAGTAAATCTAAGGGACAGAACGTGCGACTGCGGGTATTTTCAAGCTCTGAAGTATCTATGCTCTCATTTGATAGCATCTTGCTCGCATACACGTCAAGACTATAACCATTTTGTGGATCTCGTATACCTACTATCTGAAGTTTTTAAGGCATACGAATTTGAGTTCCCCCCATAGGCAATGACAAAGACCCTGATGAGGTTCAAGATTGGTTTCCGATTGTACCAAATCTGAGTTTATTGAGGGAGTGTGGTCGTCCAAAATCCAATCGAATTCATTGCGATATGGATTTTTGAGAAATATCTAGACAAGCCAGAAGATGTGGGTATTGTAGAAACCCAGGACACACTAGAAAAACATGTCCACTTCTGTTGTCATCAAGTAACAATTGATGAGGAAATGATGTAGTTGTGTATCAAATAATAATTCTTGTACTTTAATTTGCATTTACTTCAAGTTAATGTTATTCTATAACCACTGACGAAGATTAAAAAATCGATACAATTATACGAGATTGGATGTTGGCGTTATATTAACGAATAATTGATATTAACGATACAATAAGTATTAAAATGATAATCAAATTACAATAACATATATTAAATGGTACTAAACAAAATTAAGCAAAATAAATTACCAAAAAGTCCAATAAGTTTAACAAAATAAATTAAAATCAATTCAACCATATTAACGAATTAAAGTAAGTATTAAATGATAAATTTAAAAATTACAATAAAAAGTTCAATAAACAACTACAATAAAAAAGTACTAAATACAAATATAATAAAAAAAACAAAATCTATCGATGCCTGCGACGCGAATGTGTTCCGTAGGGCGGTGGCTGTCAGTCTCGAGGAGGATTTCTTTGTATCACTGGTTGTGACTCCTCGCTGTCATCATTATTGCCTTCATCATCGTCGTCGTCGTTGTCGTCCTGAGCAGTTATATTTTATTGATGAGGAGCTGATGACGATGAAGAACCTCCATAGAATAATGACCCTAGAGGTGTATGACTGACTATCCCACCGGCCTACGAAAACTAGAAAAACTCATAAAACCCAGATATCGCTGAGTGTGAAAACTATACAGGAGGTATCTGTGCTGCGACCATAGGTGATGAGGCTAAACCCGCCAAATATCCAGTATATGAACCCCAAGTCGGATATGCAAACATAGACCCATAATAGCCTCCAAGAGGGGTCATAAAACTCTGTGATGGTGGCGGCGGCGGGATCATAAAACTAGGTGAAAGTGGCGAAGACGGCGTCTGGTAATGCAAAAGCGGTGACGACATCATATATGGATGTGGTATGTAAGTCGATGGATACGGTAGCTGTTGTGAAGGTCCTGCTGGTGTAGTTGAGGATGAACCGGAAGCACCTGCTCTTCGTCCACAAGTCGGGGGACGATGGTATTATGTCGGTGAACGTCTCTGTCGACGTCGTGGAAAGGTATGCCATCGTGCATCCTCGAAAAGAAGAAACAGTTTCCCGTTACTGTTGAACCACTCATAATAACCGTTAGCAACCATCAAGAGGTCAAGTAAAATGGGCTCTCTACGGGGAAGGCGTCGATGTCGATCCTCCCACAACATGACCCACTCATGATGCCTCACCAGCCAATCTGTATCTGTCTTGCCGCGTATATCTGTGCTATGCAACTCGTCCATATTGCGAGGTGCTTCCAGAATTGGTTGAAAACAACCAAAATACTGGAGCACGCGATCAGTGGAGTGCCACTCGACGGTCGCATAACAGATCAAAGGGACCATTGCCATCCAAACATCTGATGGGCCCCTCAACTCAGGTGGGATCACCATCCTCATATCATCAGTAAAATATGGCACCCATTCAAACTAAAACAAATATATATAATTTTTATCAAAATAATAATCTAATTATATAACTATAATCTAAAATCGATTTTTAAACATTAAAATTCATACCTGTGTACCAGCCTTCTAATCGATTAACACCCTAATTTTTTCTAAATCATTAGGTAGTTCCTGATGATTTTTCCTATCAGTAGACCACCTATTCAAGGAAAAAAATTATTATACGATGTACCAAATGATTAATATACGAAATCAGTTTTACAATTACCTCAATAGTAGTGGAAATACGAATGAGTTCTTGACAACGGGATATAAAAAGGGCAATCGATACCATTCCCAAGACTGCAGCAACATGAGACATCCTCCAATAGCATTTCTCCTGTAGTCAATGGCTCGACACATCTCCCTGTACAAGAAAGCCAAAACTACCGAGCCCCAACTGAGTGATCCGACCAGATGAAAGTCGCTAAGATGTCGCAACCACATGCAGTGAACTTGGTTGCGCGATTTGTCCGGCATCAACAACCCTCCTATTAGCTACAGTATGCATGCCCGTGCATACATTTTAACTTCATCATCAGAGGCATCCTCGCTCAACTCCCAAAATTGACATCTAACCAATTTAACGTTATCTGACCACCGTTAAAATTTTCTGGGACACGTCATAGATTTTCCTGGCACAAAGTAGTCCAAAAACCCTGCGCGATCCCTGATATCACATCTCTAACCACTGGAAGCCCCAGGTGCATAGCAACATCCTCAAGTGTAATAGTACACTCTCCGCACGCAAGATGGAATGTGTGGGTCTCCGGCCTCCACTGCTCTACTAAGGCAGAAATAAGGTCTGGTTCTATCTTACAGTGACCATGATATCTACCTATGTAACCGAATCCATCGTCTACTAAATACGGCAAGACACGACTAGGTATCACTAACTTAAGGTTCCTAATAAAAGGATCTAATACACGACCCTTCTCCTAAAATTAAATAATTACAAAAATTAATTCTTAAACTAATAATCATGCATTAAATAAATCAACAAATTATTACTAATAATTTAAATTAAATTAAAACGTTAAAATATTATCATATCAGCAAAGTGTCGAGATATATGATTTTCATCCAAGCGAAGTAGACCACCTTTTATTATATATCTGTAAAAAAATTATATAAATAAAATATTAAATAAATTAAATACTTAAATAAATTAAATACAAAATATTAAAAATATAATAAAATATAATAAAATATACCTTAAACATATAATATAAGAGTATTTGAGAGAAATTTAGAGAAATTGAGAGAATTTGGTGTGATGAAAGAGATTGAGAATATAGTATTTATAGGGAGGGATTGGGGTGTGAAGTGTCGGGGTAGGAGGTAATTAAACCTAAGGCGTGCCGTAGGGGTGCGCCTTACTGACGCGTGATAGATTCACAGGTAAGGCGCGGCCCCTGCCCCGTGTTATACTCTACGTGGCCTAAGGCGCGCCCCAGGGGCCGCACTGGGCCGCGCTATACACACGTGTATCCCATGTCAACATTAGGCACGCTTCACGGGGCGCGTCTTACCTCACGTGACGTCAAATCAACGTTAAGCACACTGTAAGAACGTGTCTTTCTGTAAAAAATATTAAATCAAAAAATATAATCTAAACGGTGTATGATAAAAAATATTAAATAAAAAATATGAATTTTCAAGAAAAACGCCAAATTGCAATCCTATTATTCACATAAAAAATCGCATCCTATTAGAAGTTACTTGCAAATTGTCATATAAATATGACGCGAGCAGTCGCAACCAATTTTATTTTATTTTTCATTGGATTAGAACAAAACAAACAATGGCGGCCTCTCAAAATCGTGTGAATTTCTAGGAATCCAAAACGAATCTCCTCTATATTCGTTTCACCTTCTTCCCCTCGCCCTGCTAATTCCGCAGGTTTTTTTTTATTTTTTTTAATGAATTTCATTCTTTTGAATTTCTATTCTTTTTCATTCATATTACTCTATTTTATTCCCTTCTTTATGGCTAATAAATCCGGGTGTACTTTTTTTTCTTCAAGGTTAGTTGATTTGCCCAATGCAAATTTATGGATTTTCTTTCTGGGTTTATTATTTGGAATTTGTAGAGAGATATCCAGGAGAAAAGATGGACATTGGTAAGAATAAATCAGGGAACTTTTCTATGGATTTTGTGATGGCTGGAATGGTAGCCATAACGTCGAAGAGTGCAGCAGCTCCCATTGAAAGAGTGAAGCTTTTGTTGCAAAATCAAGGGGAGATGATTAAAAGGGGACAGCTTCATAAACCGTATAATGGTGTTGGCGATTGCTTTAAAAGGGTTTTCAGGGAGGAAGGCCTCTTCTCTTTCTGGAGGGGTAACCAAGCCAATGTCATCAGATATTTTCCTACTCAGGTTTATTGACTAATTTTCTATTTTTCTTATTTTCTTGCTGATTGTTCTCATTAGGAAATTTATAAAGAGATTCCTCTGTTTTTCACTGCGTGGATTTTATGCTTTCCATTTTATTGGTCCTCAATTTTGTTGATGTGCTTGAATAATGTTTCTGAAGAACTTGGTAATTTCTGAATTTGACAGATTAGAGTATTTAAATGACAATTTACGGGAGACTATTTGATGTAATCTGAGTAAAAATACTTTTGAGTAGTCTAGTCGATGGGCCCTATTTTATAACTTAGATTGTATTTGAATTTATTTTTCGAGTTGAGTCAAGTTTTTTGAGTTTCTGTTTAAATTTAATTGTAAATATTATGATATTAATTGTAAATTATGACTTAAGTCGAGTCCAGTTGAAAAATTCAGTTTTTCGAGTCAAGTGCAATTTTGCTCTCTCCTAAATGACAATATTTATTCCTTTGAAGTGTTGAAATTGTTTATGGATTGTTGAAAGAATCAATTTTTGTGTTAAAAGATACTATGTGAGCTGTGGCTGGTATGTGCTTCCTGCTTCAGAATAATCCATACAACTACTGAATGATAAGAAAACAGGCATCATCCATGTAGGGAAAACAATTATGATTTTCAACATCAAATTTCTTCTCATGAATTTTAGATTTTCCTGTACTTGAATCTTCTATGGACTACCAATAGCTTTTTTGTGCAAAAGGTGCTCAATGCTATTAGATGGAGTACTTCAAGATTCTTTTGTTATGATGTATGTTCCATGGAATTCTAAGGACAGAAAATGCCAGGCACATTGTAGTTGAAGGATACTTGGTAAATATTAGTAATTAGAATCTCACAATCAGGGGTTTAAATAGCTGTTGCGTTGCATTTATTGTGATTGTGGACATAGCGAATGTTATTGTAGTTATTACGGGTATCGCATGCAATAACGGTATCAAATGGCACTGCTACCACTCTACAGCGGGCGCTAGTAGTAGTGTGGTCGCAGACCGCTATAATTTGATTAGGATATTCCTGATATAAATAAAACAACTACTGAATTTTCCTTGTATTCTCCTTACCAAGCCTTAGCTATATGGTAGCATAAAAGTTTATGCTTACAGAATAGGTGAATGCTTTGGTCCCTTATTTGATATGGCTTTACTGGGATGTATGATATCTTTTGCTGATAATACAAAACATCTTGGTTTTATTTTATTTTATTACTAATGCATTTACAGATACTTGTCTTGCCTAATTTTGTTACTTAACAGATGCTTGATTATCCATAGGCTTTCAACTTTGCATTTAAAGGTTACTTCAAAAGCATTTTTGGGCGCTCGAAAGAGAAAGATGGTTACATGATGTGGTTTGCTGGGAATGTGGCTTCAGGGAGTGCTGCTGGAGCAACTACATCATTGTTTTTGTATCATTTGGATTATGCGCGTACTAGGCTTGGTACTGATGCCAAAGGGTGCTCAATCAATCGTCAATGCCAGTTCAAAGGGCTACTAGATGTTTACCGTAAAACCTTATCGAGTGATGGCATCGTGGGACTGTATCGAGGATTTGGCGCTTCGATCATGGGGATTACTCTGTACCGTGGCATGTACTTTGGGATTTATGACACAATGAAGCCTTTACTTTTAGTCGGGCCTCTAGAGGTGAGCATCAGATCCTTTCCTGTAGACTTTTCTAATTCTCACGATAGTTCATATTCAGACGGAGTGAAAACACTGGAGGTGTGTCTACGCCTGCTATACCTTGATATGCGAATGTTGTCGTGGGTGTTTAGAGTTTTATAGACTATGACTGGTTATGTGAGCTAAGTATACGATCGTATGTGGCAATAATTTAGATGATTGGATAGGTGAGTATGAGATATGATCTCAAGACTTCTTAATATGCATAATGGTATCTCAGGGTCGAGTATAAATATAAGTTGCCGGCCTTTGCAATAAACCAGTCATTATATATAACAATTTCTTTTAATTGTTGGGGTAAAGTATACATATTGTCTCCCTACTATAGGGTGTTGTTTTGTTGAGTCATCCGACTATTAAAAGTTACAAAATGATCATCTGAATATAGGGCTTGTTTTGTTGAATCCCTCAATTATTAAAAGTTATAAAATGGTCACCCAATTATTCATATGTTCCAAACATATCTTTTTTCTTTAAAACATTGAGCATGTTAACATTCAGCTCAAACGGTCATCATTTTTTTTAATCTAAAAGGACAATTTAGAACATATGAATAATTGGGTGACCATTTCATAATTGTTAATAGTCGAGAGACTCAAAACACGTTATAGTTGGGACCATTTGTGTATTTTACCCTAATTGTTGAGTACATAAAATTGCTTTGTCATACCTACTTGAATGTTTCCGAATATGGGATGCTAATCTTACGTTCATCGCAGGGGAATTTCATTGCTAGCTTCTTCTTAGGTTGGAGTATCACCACAGTTTCTGGAGTGTGTGCCTATCCGTTCGACACGGTTCGGCGTCGAATGATGTTAACCTCCGGACAATCCCTGAAGTATCGTAGTTCTATCCATGCTTTTCGGGAGATCATTCATCTGGAGGGGTTTTCAGCATTATTTCGAGGAGTTACTGCTAATATGCTTCTTGGAGTAGCAGGAGCTGGAGTACTTGCAGGCTATGATCAGTTGCATCGAGTTGCTCATCGACAAGGCTACGTTTTCGAGTCTTATAAAGGTACACTAAAGTAAATGCCAGTCTTATGTAAATACAAGTGTAGCTCTTCATTCTGATTTTTTACTGAAATGAAAAAAGGAGAATGGGGAAGAAGTGGGATAGAAAGGCCCCCCCATGTATGTTTTATGTATACTTTGTACAGTTTATTAACTTTCAATTATTTATTTGTTATGCAATTGCAGATGACCAAGTTTTAGCAATAAAACCCATTTTACTTTAAATTTTCCATGTAATGTGGAATTTTGTTTCAAACTTATTTCTATCTTCAATTCGCGGTACATATTGTATTGGTTACTTTCGCCTTGTGATTGTAAAGGAAAAAACATTTAAAATAGTTTGCTTCACTGAACCCTCTCCTTCAATTCTGGTAGTTTTCTGTGCGGCCGAGATATTTAAGATTATTACTTTTAGGTTTTAACCTAAAATATATTTTATTTAGGCTTAGGCGTCCAAATAATACTTCAAATTGACTTTTGGTTCTTATTTTTTTTGTTAAAAATAGGTGTTTAATATTTTCTCCGTTATATTTTTAGATGTCTACCGTTAAAATAAAACCGTTAAATGATGTGTTATGTTTATATATATTTAAAAAAAATATTATTCAAAAAATATATATTTTAAAAAATCTAAACGTGACATGTGTCACTTAACGGTTTTTTTAATGGTAGACACTTAAAAGTGTAACGAGAAAATAATAGGTATCTATTTTTAATAAAAAATTCTTTAGGCACCAATTGTGTATTTGAGGTATAGTTTAGACACCTAAAAGTGTATTAAACAATTTATTTAATTGAAAAATTATACAATTGATAATAATTTTATTTTAAATCAAGAATAATAAATTATGACGGGTTTTAATGTAAAATGTTACTTTGTTTACTTTAAGAATTTACACAATTAATAATAATTTCGGTTACAATTGAAAATGTTATATATTTTTTTAGGTTAACCTTTTAGGTTACAACCATAAAAATTGTAAAATTTACATTAATTTTTATGAAAAATATAATATTTTTTGTTTCATAACTCAATTTATTCCAAAAGCTTGTGCATTTAATAAATAAATTTATTCCAAATCGACCATTCCCCTCTCATTTCTTTCATTTCTGTTTAATCCAAAGGGAAGAGAAAAAACTCTCTCAACTCTCATCCCATTTATCTCTTCACTCCTCCGCCGTGGGGAGAGATACAAAAGCTACGGTCGTCGTAAATAGACAGTGATGGTGTGGGAAACCAAACTTGAAACAAACCCTTGGCCTCCCTCTTTCTTTTCCTCTGAAAACTGACCCCTCGAATACCCAAACCCGAAGCTAAACCTGTCGAAACCCTATAGATCAGAGAAAAACAAAAGGTTTTACCTTCAGTGGTGGTTTTTCCTAGTTCCAGTGGTGCTACCGACGATCAGATCTATCTAAAAGGTAAGTTTTCTTAGTTGTTCTCAGTTTTTTTTCTCTATTGTCCCCTTTTTTTAATGTTCAAAATCTCATTTTTTTTTGTTTGAATCCCTTCCTCCCCTGAAAAATCTTGCATGTGGATTTTATGGTTCCTTCTTGGGTTCGAATGATGATCTCTATGGGTAGTGATATGATATCTCTGAATTGAGTAGGTGAAATCCCTGATTTTTTGGGATTTAGGATTTTTTTTAAATGGGGTTTTATATTTGGTGGGATTTTTGTCTGACTTGATGTGTATTTTACACTGTTCAACATGTTCTGATGAAGGCGGCGACAGTGAGACTATCAATTGGTGGTGGCTAACGCGGCGGGAATTCTAACGGCTGACACGTGGATCATACACATGATCAGACAGTCCAGATATGTCTTCAATTGGCGACTGGTGCTGGTGGGAGCATTAGGGTGAAAACCCTAATTTGTAATATAATCTGGACCATTGGATCTCTCACAGATCCAACCGTTGATACCGTGCGACAGTTGGCTGTTGAGATAAAACCCTAATCAGGTTGGGTCAACTATAAACGAGTATGGGTTGATGGGTTAGACATGTGGGTTTGCTTCTTTCTTGGTTGAGTGGTATTGGGTCATGTTTGGGGTTTATAATATGGGCTCTATTTGTGATGTTTGGGCCCTTTATTGTTGGTTGGCTGATTAGGCTTGACTTAGTTGGATTTGTAAAAAAAAATATATTATTAATAAAATAATAATAACACTGATGATAATAATAATTAAGATTATAACTAGAACGCAGACAAAAACAAGTTTCTACAGCTTCCATTCTTTGCACATTCTTGTGTTAACAAGAATAGGGCAAAGATGACAAGACAATGAGTTTTTTTTCTGATTCTCTCTTTTTCTCTTGAAACTTGATATTAAAGATGACACTACTCATCCATGTTTAAGAGATCTGACCGTTTTCAGTTAAATTGTTTGCTAAGGCTGACGTTGTTCCTTTTCGTTGAGGAAGTTGGGTTAATTTGGAGATGATTTTGGAGACAACACGGTTCCTTCGCATTGAGGAAGTCTGATTGTCTAAGGATGACACTGCTCCTTCGCATTGAGGAAGTCTGATTGTCTAAGGATGACACTGCTCCTTCGCGTTGAGGAGATTTGGTCGGTGGACGATATTGTTCCTACGTGATGAGGATGTCTAGTCATCTTTAGGGATAATTTGGAGACAACACGGTTCCTACGTGATGAGGAAGTCTAGTTATCTGATGATGACACTGCTACAACGAGTTAAGGAGATATGGTCGGTGAATGACATTTTTCCTAATTAACGAGGATGTATAGTCGTCTTTAGGGATAATTTAGAAACAACACAGTTCCTATGTGATGAGGAAATCTAGTTATCTAAGGAAGACACTGCTCCTACTCGTTGAGGAAATCTGGTCGGTGGACGACATTGTTCCTACGTGATGAAGACGTCTAGCCATCTTTAGGGATAATTTGGAGAACACGGTTCCTACGTGATAAGGAAGTCTGATTGTTTGGAGGTAATTTGTCTTTGAAAATGACATTACTCATTCTTGTTGAGGAGAGCTAATCATAGTTGCCAAAGTTTGACTTGAAACGAAATCTTCTTTTCCAACATGAAATTGTGGAATGAAGTCTTTGCTAACGTTGAATTCCTATCAAATATTTGAATGAAAATAAATAAGTGGAAATAAGTTTGTTTCAAGAGAAGCTATCTTAGGTGAGATAAAATTTCATTTCGAGTGAAACATTTCAAAATTTACGTTTAAAGGGAACTGTGTCAAACGAGACGAAACTTGTTTTTAAGAAACACAATCTCACGTGAGATCAATTTTGTTTCAGGTGCAAAAATTTCAAAATTTGTGGAAAATTGTCTCAAGCGAGACAATTTGTTTCAAGAGAAACAATCTCAAGAATTTGTGTTTCAAGAAAAACTATCTCAAGCGAGATGAAACTTTGTTTCGAGATAAACAATATCAAAGGTTTATGTTTCAAGAGAAACTGTCTCAAGCGAGACAAAACTTGTTTCAAGAGAAACAATCTCAAAGGTTTTATGTTTCAAGATAAACTATCTCAAGCGAGACAAAACTTTGTTTCAAGAGAAACAATCTCAATTGAGATCAACTTTGTTTCAAGTGAAACAGTGAAACAATTTCAATATTTGTGTTTCGAGGGAAAACTGACTCAAGAGAGACGATTTTTGTTTGAAAGAAATAATCTCAAGTGAGATTAGTTTTATTTCAAGTGCAACAATTTCAAAGTTTGCATCTCAAGGGAAAATTATCTCAAGTGACACGAAATTTGTTTTTAAGAAAACAATCTCATGTGAGATCAATTTTGTTTCAAAAGAAACTGTCTCAAGCAAGACGAAACTTTGTTTTGAGAGAAGCAATCTCAAAGGTTTATGTTTCAAGAGAAACTGTCTCAAGCGAGACAAAATTTTGTTTGGAGAGAAACAATCTCAAAGGTTTACATTTACAGAGAAACTGCCTCAAGTGAGACAAAATTTGTTTTGAGGAAAACAATCTCTAAGGCTTTTTTTCAAAAAAAAAAATGTCTCAAGCTAGACGGAATTTTTTTTTGGAGAGAAGCAATCTCCAAGGTGACAAATTGTTTATTTCTGCATATTGAGGAATGTTGCCTTTAGAAGATCTGATCGTTCATTTCATAATGTCCAATCTACTGATGATATTTTTTTATATACCGACCCTCGAACATTGTCTAAGGAAGCTAAGGATTCACTTAACCACTGAAGACACTGAAAGAGATGGTTAATCTGTGAATGGCATTGTTCCTTCATGTTGAGGACGTCTAGTCATCACCAAAATTTTATTTCCTAAAAGATCAATATAAAAAATGTTGCATTTATGAATGATTATGTTTTTATTGATGTTAAGATGAAGTATGTATTTGATTTGATTTTTATTTTGATAAAAAAGACCTCTTGAATTTGTCCTCATGAGAGGAGAAAATGATATCGAGAAAAGAAAATTATGATGTCTTCGTGAGAGGGGAAAATGACCTTTAAGAAAAATGAAATAAGGATTTAAGGGAAAACAGTCTTAAGAAAGACTAAATTGATTTTCTTAGCCGAACAATCTTGAGAAAAATTAAATTAGTTTCTTAAAAGCGATTATAAAAGTATCATTATGAGAAGGGAAAACCCTTTTTTTATTACAATACGATGATGAATATAGGATACGAAGATGCAAATTTCACGTAACATGCATGTATATGTTGATGTATGTTTTCTTCATTTAATGTTCAGGGACGGATGCTTGAGCACTTTTCCTTCTATCTCTATTTCAGTTTTCTTTACTCTTTGTTTACACCAGCGTGCATCCTGGCAATTCTTGACATGTGTCAATTTCTTCTTGCCCTAGTAAAAGTTTTCCCCTGATAAATTTGGTTTCCTTTGTCTGAACTTGTGTATAAATCCAACAAAGCTTCCCTCATGATATTATCATCATCCCTACCAAATTGTTTGAAAAGAGAATCTATAACTTCAAGCTTCAGAGATGGTGTACGCACAACTACCCTGTAACGGGAAATCAAAGGCCACTGTCTGAAGCTAGCTACCGTAACAATTGATGGGATATCAGAC